TGGATGAAGCATGGAACTTAGCAATTTGGTTTGATACTGCAATGTTTGAAATGGAAAGGCCCTCTACTACCATTCCTAACAAACCACAACAATATACAAACAAACCAGGGAAAGGGAATGGCGGACCTGTGCCAATGGAACTAGACTATGCCAGAAGCTCTTCAAATAGTCAACATCATAGAAAAAAAAAAGGGAAATTGTTTTAAATGTAGAATATCAGAACATTATACAAAAAACTGTAAAAGCAAAAGAAAGCAAAAACTTACTAACATCGAGGATAAATCTAACCAATCACCACATACTATTACCAACAATAGCCTAGAACTAATATAGGTAGAAAAAAATCGCAAACAGTTATTAAAATTTAACAGCAAAATCAACGGTCACCCTGCTTGGATCCTTCTTGATAGTAGAGCGTCTTGCAATTTTATTGACAAAGATTTTGCCACCCAGAATAAACTAATATTAAAAACCGTTTCTCCCTTATCAGTTGAATTAGCAGATAGAAGCAAAGCACAAATGAATAAGACATTTAACATAAATAAGTTAGAACTAGGTCCTTACTACACTTCTAGGATATCAGCACAAGTCTTGAAGCTTCAACATTACGATACCATTCTAGAAAAACTATGGTTGTATCACACCAACCCCAACATCAATTGGAGGAAAAATACCTTGGTTTTCCAGTATAGGTCCAAAATTATTGAAGTCCAAGCAGATTTCCAAAAAACACCTAAGGATCCTAGTTGTAACTCAGTATTCATATCTCGGTAACAATTAGCCAAAGTGCCTGATAGTGAAGAAATTTTTACTATATATATTAGTCAAGAAAGTAATAAAGATGCCAACATCCAACAACCAGAAGTCCAAAAGATTTTTTAAAAATTTAAGAATATTTTCCCTAAAAATCTACCTGACTATTTGCCCCCAAAACAAACTGTTGACCATGCTATTAATCTTGTACCAGGTTTAGAACCTCTATCTTATCTCATCTACCGAATGTCTTATGAAGAATTGGACGAATTAAAGCACCAGTTAGCTGAATTATTACAAAAAAACTTTATTCACCTCAGCACTTTCCTGTTTGGCACCCTAGTCCTTTTCGTCTATAAGAAGGAAAGAACTTTGAGGTTATGTATTGATTATCAGGACTTAAATAAAATCACCATTAAGAATAGGTATCCCCTTTCCCACATTGACGAGTTACTGAACAGATTAGTTGGTTCTAAATATTTTACAAAAATCAACTTATATTCTGGATACCATCAAATTCAGATTAAAAGGAGGATATCTATAAAACCGTCTTTTGTACCTGTTATGGCCACTACAAATTCCTTGTATTACTCTTTGGACTTACAAATGCACTCACTACATTTATGGCCTTAATGAACGATATTTTTAGAGAATATCTTGATAAATTCGTAATAGTGTACCTTGATGATATCCTTATATATAGTAAGACAAAGTGAGACCATATTCATCACCTTAAAAAGGTTCTCAAAATCTTTAAAGATCATAAGTTGTATGCAAAAATTAGTAAATATGAATTTTTTAAAGAAGAAGTAGAATACCTTGGCCATGTTATATTAGCTGATGGACTTTCAGTTGATAACAAAAAAATCAACTCTATCCGGAATTGACCTATGCCTACTAATATCTCTGATGTCTGTTCTTTTCTTGGTTTAGCTAGTTATTATAGAAAATTTATAAAAGGGGTTTCAGCTATTGCAACATTTCTTACACAATTACTTTATAAGGACCAGCCTTTTAAGTAAAAACAACCTAAAACGGTTGCTTTTGAAACCTAAAAGTATCAACTCACTTCTGCCCCT